ACGAGACCGGATAAGCCCCGCACTAACATGAATATCGGAGACCTTCTCTGGCGGGCGGAGGGCGCATGTGAGCCCAAAATGGCTGATGACCTAGACTTCAGTGGAGACCCAGGCAGGATGTTACCCCCACCACGGCCGACCCCACACGACAGGAAGAACGAGCCGATGACAGCGGCAATGCTCAGGGAGATGCTCAGCGACCTGCAGCAAGCCTTGCAGGCAGACACAACCCTGCTACGCAAGACCTCTCGGTCCTCATGGGCCGTTTAGGGGAAGCGGAAAACACAGTGACACACCACACAATAGCCATTACAGACCTCCAGAGGAAAATAGAAACCTTGAAGGCACAACAAGCGGTAACGGAACAGAGGTTTGCCAAACTCGAAAATTCGAGGGGTGCCCAAAGAGGTTCCGGTAGAGAAGCTCCCGCATTTCATCAGGCGACTACTGGGAGGCCTCCTGGCCCCAAGACAAGCTAAAGGGGTGAGCCTCGATGGGATATTTCGAGTCCCGAAACCCCGAAGAGGACACGGCCCCGCAAGACACCGTGGTAAAATTCCGCAGCTTCACAGATAAACAAGCAGTGCTCACAGCCCTCAAAGGGAAGGTGCCCGCTGCAAGTTCTTCAAGGAAATGTGACACACTCTGTGACCGACCTCAAGGGAGCGAACACCCTCCTGAGCCAGCTGGGACTATCTGACAACCTCCTGCCTCAACCTCCTGCCTCAACCGGGCTCTCACCACTTATACTATTTTATTTTCACTGATTTTATGTGTGGTGGAGTGATCCACATAGGTGATTGTAGCACTCTATTTTATTGTTTTTTTTAACCTAATATACACACTTTTTTAAACTTTTACTTATTTGTACTTCTCACTCCTTGTGCTTTAGCTTAGCTCAACCCCACTAACAAATGTTTCAATGCTGGAAAACATAACAGTGGAACTGGGAAGTAATAGGACAGCAGTGGTAGTCCCAGTGGTCTAACATGTACACCAGATTGACTGGCATCTTTTCTGGTTAAGCTCCCTCGGGTCTCAGGAGCACTGCTGAAGACCATATTATGGGCAAGAAAGTCTTAGGTTCACTGAGCACAGAACATGCTCATTTAATAATGTGCTCACTCTGCATTTATTGATATACAGAGAACAGCTCTGGAAACATGGGACCATGACCTCTAAATTAAGTCTGTCTCACTGAATCTCGCCAAACAGAAAAAGGGGGTAAGTACTAAACCACGAGAGACCACATTTTTATATATCTCCCAACTATGGTGTCCTGCGAAACCAATAAGGTCGCAGCCTGCCCACCTGTCAATCATCCAGCCCATGGAGGGCAGTTACGGTGCTTTCTGCAGAGTCCTAGTGCCCTGAACATAGCACAAGTACGTCTAATGATGCGTTTGCACTATACTTAGTTCCCTGGTGTCCCCATAAGTGGAGACGGTGGGTCAGGACCAGAAAATCAGAACTTTCCTGTTTAAATCAGGGCGGTTTGAAAGTCTGGTGTTACTGAGGTTTTGAGGATTTCTGCCACCCTTGGAAAAGATCCATTTTGCCGCCCCTCATGTCACTAACTCACTAACAGACACACAGACTCACCGACAGACACGCACTCACTCACTGAAAGACACACACACACACACACACACACACACAGACACTTACTGACAGACACTCACTCACTGACAGACATACACACACACACACACACACACACACACAGACAGACAGACACTTACTGATAGACATACAGGGAGTGCAGAATTATTAGGCAAATGAGTATTTTGACCACATCATCCTCTTTATGCATGTTGTCTTACTCCAAGCTGTATAGGCTCGAAAGCCTACTACAATTAAGCATATTAGGTGATGTGCATCTCTGTAATGAGAAGGGGTGTGGTCTAATGACATCAACACCCTATATCAGGTGTGCATAATTATTAGGCAACTTCCTTTCCTTTGGCAAAATGGGTCAAAAGAAGGACTTGACAGGCTCAGAAAAGTCAAAAATAGTGAGATATCTTGCAGAGGGATGCAGCACTCTTAAAATTGCAAAGCTTCTGAAGCGTGATCATCGAACAATCAAGCGTTTCATTCAAAATAGTCAACAGGGTCGCAAGAAGCGTGTGGAAAAACCAAGGCGCAAAATAACTGCCCATGAACTGAGAAAAGTCAAGCGTGCAGCTGCCACGATGCCACTTGCCACCAGTTTGGCCATATTTCAGAGCTGCAACATCACTGGAGTGCCCAAAAGCACAAGGTGTGCAATACTCAGAGACATGGCCAAGGTAAGAAAGGCTGAAAGACGACCACCACTGAACAAGACACACAAGCTGAAACGTCAAGACTGGGCCAAGAAATATCTCAAGACTGATTTTTCTAAGGTTTTATGGACTGATGAAATGAGAGTGAGTCTTGATGGGCCAGATGGATGGGCCCGTGGCTGGATTGGTAAAGGGCAGAGAGCTCCAGTCCGACTCAGACGCCAGCAAGGTGGAGGTGGAGTACTGGTTTGGGCTGGTATCATCAAAGATGAGCTTGTGGGGCCTTTTCGGGTTGAGGATGGAGTCAAGCTCAACTCCCAGTCCTACTGCCAGTTCCTGGAAGACACCTTCTTCAAGCAGTGGTACAGGAAGAAGTCTGCATCCTTCAAGAAAAACATGATTTTCATGCAGGACAATGCTCCATCACACGCGTCCAAGTACTCCACAGCGTGGCTGGCAAGAAAGGGTATAAAAGAAGGAAATCTAATGACATGGCCTCCTTGTTCACCTGATCTGAACCCCATTGAGAACCTGTGGTCCATCATCAAATGTGAGATTTACAAGGAGGAAAACAGTACACCTCTCTGAACAGTGTCTGGGAGGCTGTGGTTGCTGCTGCACGCAATGTTGATGGTGAACAGATCAAAACACTGACAGAATCCATGGATGGCAGGCTTTTGAGTGTCCTTGCAAAGAAAGGTGGCTATATTGGTCACTGATTTGTTTTTGTTTTGTTTTTGAATGTCAGAAATGTATATTTGTGAATGTTGAGATGTTATATTGGTTTCACTGGTAATAATAAATAATTGAAATGGGTATATATTTGTTTTTTGTTAAGTTGCCTAATAATTATGCACAGTAATAGTCACCTGCACACACAGATATCCCCCTAACATAGCTATAACTAAAAACAAACTAAAAACTACTTCCAAAAATATTCAGCTTTGATATTAATGAGTTTTTTGGGTTCATTGAGAACATGGTTGTTGTTCAATAATAAAATTAATCCTCAAAAATTCAACTTGCCTAATAATTCTGCACTCCCTGTAGTCTCACTCACTGACAGACACACAAGCACACACTCACTGACAGACATACAGTAACTCACTGACAGACACACAAACACACTCACTGAAAGACATACACTCACTAACTGACAGACACAGACACTCACTGACATACATACACTCACTGACATACATACACTAACTCACTAACAGACACACTCACTGACATACATACAATCACTCATTAACTGACAGAGAAACACACACACACTCACTGACATACATACACTCGCTCACTGACAGACACACACAGACACTTACTGACAGACAGACACTTACTTACTGACAGACACAAACACACAATCACTGACAGACATACACTCACTCACTGACACACACAGACAGTCACTGACATACATACTCATTCACTGACAAACACACACACAGGCAGACACTCACTGACACACTCAAACACTCTGGGGTCCAGTGTGGGGCAGCTCCTCACTCCTGCAGTGCTCCGTTTAGTATGCCGAGGCCGGAATGACGTCATATTCCGGCTCCTGGCATTACAGAGGGCGCGCGAGGGAGGAGTGAGAGGCTGCAAGAACAGCCTCCCTCGCTGCCTTCCTGCTCCGTCCCCCTCTCCTCCGGTTACCGGCATTTGATGGCCTAGCAGGCACCTGCCAGCAAGGTAAGCAGGTGCCTGCTCTGCCTTACCTAATACAGGTTCGGGGGGAGCCCTGAGGTGCCACCTCCAGCACTGCGGCCCGAGAGGGGTAGCCCACCAGGAAACATTCAGGTGGGCTCCCCCAGCAGGCCGGCACCCTAGGCGAATGCCTAGTTCGCCTACAGGTGGGGCCGGCCCTGGGTTTTGTACAGCTCCTATTCTGATATGGTATTGTACACAACTGTTCAAACAGCAGGGGAGAAAATTCATTAAACAACTGAGAAATATGAGTCAACACTTTTTTTTATTAAAACATATGTTGCTAATACAATACACACAATGCAAAAGTATAAATAGATGTTATATATTTCATTACATAGATTCATTTAAGGATATAATCATAATTAAAAATATATCCATCTACAGTATATCTATCAATCTATCATAATAATATAAAATATATTTAGGAGGAATTTTAACCTGTGCAATGAAGGCTAGTCCTGTGCGGTGTTGTTGCTTTTAGCAGTTTAATAGAAAATAATATACAGTTACATAGGCCTTCACTGTGTTTGAAACAGCACATTATTACTATCATGCTGATTTTCTCTGTGGGAGTCAGGAAACAGAAAGTACTCTTCTTTTGTTTTACGTCATTCATGAAAGTCTAAGCATGACAAGCATTGAGATTCATTGGTTATATCTAGTCACTTTCCCCTTGGCACCAGCCTTTCCATTTCCTTTCAGAGCCTAATGTGTCAATTTGTATTACTAATGAAAAGCCAAGTTTGTGCTTTTCTTCAATGCGAGACGACTCGAGCGACTACTGAAGAATCACATTGCCATTCAGTCCTTGAGTTTGTTGACAATTACATTACAAACGACCACCTACTCACTAAAGACAGGAAATGACATCCATCCAATTTCTTTTCTGATTAAAAGATAGTTAACAGCATGTCTTAGAGACGGATCTGTGTTTTGGCTTTATACCAGAAGCATAAATGTTCCATACATTTATGCTTGCAGTATAAAGCCAAAACACATAGACTACTGAGATCACACAAATACTGTACTTTGCCCATGCTAGGCGCTCACTTAAGTTTCAGGCATGTTTTAGATCAAAGGTAACTTTCAGCATGTGATCATTAGACATTGCCCTCCTAATTAAGCAAAGTCACCAAAACAACAGGCAAGTCCCAACTTCCGATGTTCATTTGAGTTTCTCTCAAATGAGGCCAAGTCAGAGGGAACAAAGGTGCACACTTTATTTGTAGGAACCTGCCTACAGGTGCACGTCCAATATGGGACCCCTATTTATAGCACTTATAATGTGCGTTTTTGGAAAGTAGGTGAGCTGGTGGAAAGAGATAAGTAACAAGAACCGTGGCCAGTGCCCCCTATAGTCCAGTCAGCCTTCTATACTTGATAGAACAGTTGCAGGAACAGTTATAGAGGGTGTTCCCATTTATTTATTCTTGACAGGAAGTGGAAGGGATCATTTCCCATCTGCCCACTAACAGCCTCTAACACAGGAAATACTTGATGAGCATGGGCACCATTTAGTAATGCATACTGTATGACAGCTCATAATATACGCACATAGACGTCACTACAAGATTTATTATTTCTCCCCCCATGGGCTCTTCCCATCTGCGGAACTCCAATTACATGGTGGCCTAGGGTACACTTTAAGACGGAGTGCCTTCAGCAGCTATACTGCCTGTCAAGATCGACCCCACGTCAGAGCATTCTGGGCGGGTTGTAATAAGAGGTGAGATCCGCAAGAGGGAGCAGTAAATAAAAATACACAAAATAAGTCCTGCACTCAAACTTCCACTATTTCTGGGCAGCAGCAATGCCTATAGTATAATAAAAGTTACTTGTGCACTATGCCACATCCCTATGCACATTTTAGTAACTGGAGGTTTTTTAGTGTACTATAGTCATTGCTGTTGCCCATGAGTAGTGAGAGCTTGAATACAGGGCTTAATTGTGTATGTTTGAATTTGCTTTTGTATCACACAGCCATGTTACAGTTGCAACTTCAACACCTGTCAAGTTTTAAACCATCTTAATAGTAACTGCCCTATATAATCTAATTTTGACATTAACCCCACTCTAATTGTAAACCCCATTTATTCTAACCACTTCTAAGAAAATGAATCAATATTCCTCGAATAAATTTCCAAATGTTTTAGCTACAAAACTTCTTATAGACTTTAATGGTGACTCGTGTAGATAAATTAGTCTTAATTTAATATTTTGTTTTGTATAAGAGTTTCAAATGGTTTAATATTTTTGGACAAATTGTAGAAACCATTTCACATATTGATATTTTTGATATACTGATATTTGTTTTATATGATAAATATATATTAAATCATTTGAAAAGCTTATTCAATTTTGAGGTTCATTATCTTTAACCATGCATATATTTACACAGCTGCATACACTCACATTCAAACCCAATACAATTCAAGCAGAAATATGTACATACATATATACATTCTCAATTGATACATTTGAATATATGATTTGTTTTAATGTTTTATGCCCACAATGTCCAGTTAATAAATTCATTAAACTCACTTTGTCTACTGGTTTTTAGGGGGCAGGGGAGAAGCCTTACATTTCCGTGCCTACAGACACCTGTAATGTAAATTTTGTCCTGTTTATTTGAGACAACAGGGTATATTCAACACATGGTGTCTCATTGAGTTGGGGGTCATATATCAATGGGAATTAGGAAATGTAGATCTCATTATGTACCAGGCAGCTGCCTTGAGGCTGGGTATCTTTTTGCTGAGTTTGCAAAGCCAGGTTTAGTGGCATCTAGACTATGAACTGGACAAGGTTCTACAACTAGTTACCTGGGACAGGCTTTCTTATGGTATCACATGATATCGAGCTTCAAATACAACATGCATGTATCTCATCTCTCTCTAACATTCACTATCACAGTATGATCCGGGCCGGCGTGGCTCAGGCAGCCGTCTTAAAGCGCCGGGGGGGAGGGGCACAAAAAATCTGAATCCCCTGCCTCTGGCTGGGGACTCTTACCTGTCTCCCTGCAGCCTGCCAGAACAGAGCAGCCAGGGAAGTCATCCTGTCTCTCCTGATGATGTCAGTAGGAGGGGGCGTGACTTTCACTGCTCTTCTCCCAGGAGCACTGGGGAGTCTGGGAGAAGAGCAGAGGAAGTCACGCCCCCTCCTACTGACATCATCAGGAGAGGACGGCCGACTTCCCAGGCTGGTGTGTGCTGGCTTCATACTACAGATCCTGCCACCCCTCCCTGACCCAAGGTAAGCCTCAGGGAGGGGGGGAAATAGAGTTTTGTTTATTTTTATTTTTTAAATTAATTTACTTTTTAAAGCAGCCCCGCCACAGCTCCTGTCCTGTCCCCCTACTCAGCCCCTGTCCCCCTTATTCAGCCCCTGTCCCCCTACTCAGCCCCTGTCGCCTTCCTCAGCCCTGCCCCCCTTCATCAGCCCCTGTCGCCTTCCTCAGCCCTGTCCCCTTCTCTCAGCCCTTTCCCCTTCCTCAGCCCCTGTCCCCATACTCAGCCCCTGTCCCCCTACTCAGCCCCTGTCCCCCTCCCTCAGCCCTGTCACCTTCCTCAGCCCCATGCCCTCCCATCATCACAGCCCCCATACCCTGTCAGAATATTTATATCAACAGACATTTTATGCTAAAAAGGAATTAAAAGTGTATATTGCCCAAGTCACTCAAAACAAAGCGGACTCCATTTTGCTATCTTCAGGATAACAAAAACACATAATTTCCTTGACGACTTCTTACTTTCACTAACCACTTGCTTGAGCTAAGGAATGCACAGACACTAGTGACAGAGAAGACTAAGTAATTAATTTTACTTTCTAAATTTTACAAGGTTCCATTGTAAAATAAGGGGTGAAATTGAGTTTAGAACTGTCAATTTTACAAGTTACGACCAAAGTAGTTGCCACAAAGACTGGGACAAACGGTTTGAACTGACAGCAAATCTAAGTTATGGTAGACATTTTAGATAAGCCAAATGACGTTAAAATCGTCATCAGGAAAAGTTAACTCTTTCCTGGATAGGAAGGATTCGTTAGACGAGACTGCCCTCTATAGATCAAATACCTAAATTGCGATCCATAGATTGGACACACCTACGGATTCCTATTGGTTTATCAAGTAATGGCGTACAAAGAGTCTGGCCCTTTAAAAGTAAGGACAAAGGGAAATGTTGGGAATACAGAGAAGATGGACAGAGAGATGAATTGAAGTTTGGGAGATTCCGACTCGGACAATATCTGGGACTAACACTCTACTCTTAAACTCATGGACACTCAACTCTTTTAAACTCTTAACACTTTCCAACACCACTTTCTCTATCACTCACGCACTCCATACAACCAATCAAGTTCCTGGGTCTATCTAGTCATCTGATGAGAATATCTACATAACTGGTAATTATGCTGGTTTTATTTAATTAATTTAAATTAATTAAAATGTACTAATAGCATGATATATGACTGGATAAATCACGGTCAGATTTCATATTTAGAAATCTTAGTTAACTAAAGAATATATAGTTATAAACATTCCATTCTGCAGGTGGAATTAAGAATAATTATATATTAATGTGATAGTATCACGTGTTAGCATACCGCTGTTTTTATCCAGGTGTATTGATTTGCTCTAAAATAAAATAAGATAAGATATCTTTTTAGGCAAATTAAAATTCGGATCTTATAGAATCTGGTAGATTATTCTTATTGGATGGTTCCAGGAAATGACTAATGAGCTGGTTTGAATGTTATTTTAATTGAAAATCACAGGAGAATAGGATACTATATGCCTAGGAGGATCTAGCCAGCATTGAAAGGGTTACTCAGTAGTTTTAACTGTTAGCCAAGGTTTATGGCTCTTCGCTGTGAAAAGCTTCACTTTTTGTCTGTAAGGATACCCTCATAAATCTTAAGTGATAGAAAATGCTGTTAGCCATTCCATTGTATTGTATACTTATGTTGTACTAAATATTTACGGATTAATATCATGCATGCTGCCTAATATTATTGTTAATTATTGGTCATAATAAATAAATCTATTTTTATAACAGATTGTGATTTATATGGAATACTTTTCACTTATTTGATAAACGATCTCTAAGATCTAAGACAATTGAAATAGTGGGCAATTCTCGACTGCTTAATATTATCATCCAATAAATATCCCCACAACCCTCACAACAGCGCCCATACCCTCACTACAGCCCCATAACATCCCCACTTGCAACCCATATCACCCACACACACAGCCCCTTTCCCAAATAGTAGCCATTAACCTACTTCAGCCCCTATCCCCTCACTACATTTCCTAACCACCCAATTACATTCCATACCCTCCACTTTAGTCCCTATCCCCCCACTACATCCCCTAATTTTTCAATTACAGCCACTACAACCCACTTCCAGTGCCATTCCTGAGATTAGGCTCTGGATCTGCCCCTGCTCTGTATGCCTGTATAACTATATGCATGTGTATGTATGTATTTGTATGCCTGAGTCTGTATGACACATCCATACAGTCTGACTTTGTCTGTGTTTGTATGACATTGTACCTGTAAGTGTAGATTGTATGGCTGTGTGCCTGTATATGTTTGATTGTGTGCCTGCATATCTCTGTGACTGAGTGCCTGTAAGGTTGTTTGTTGCTATATATCCATGTCTATATCGCATGGAAAAAGACACAAAATGCGCTGAGGGGAGAGAGCCACAGAAAGGGGCTTGGGGTAAGAAAGAGACACGCAAAAAGAATGGGGGAGGGGAGGAGACACCCAAATGAGCTGGGGGAAGAAAGAGATATGCAAGGGGGGTTATAAGAGACAAACAAGAGGGTGTAAGACATATTAAAGGGGGGATAAAATACACTAAAGAGGGTAAGAAAATTTAAAAGGGGGGTTACAAGACACACAGGTAAAGACGCTTTTTAAGGTGGGGGCGACAAAATGCATTTTTGCCTGTGTAGCCAAAAATTCTTGCACTGGCCATGCATATGATAATACATTTAATAACAGCCAGGGACAGTAAAGTTTATGGGCTTAACATTTATTTTCAGCTATACCCATCCTCTACCTGAAAAAAAAACATTCATCATGATAGCACTCCAACATCGCAAGATGCCCAAATTGACATGGATAGGATCGGTTGCTGAAACTGTCCAGAAGAGTTGCAGCAATTGGTGAAGTAGTCTATGTCGGATTTGGAAAATACTTCATTACGTTGCTTGTAATTTTGTCATATAGGAAGTTGGATGTCCTCTGAGAACTGTTTTTAAAACTTCCCAAAATTATTTGGAGGTTGGTCAAAGTGGTCAAGGTTGCCATCTGTATAGCTGGCCCAGTGGCTGTCTCAATGGGTAAGTAGGTACAAGTATCAGACAAATGTTCAAATTGAATGTAGGATGAATGATCAAATAACACACTATAATATAATGCAATGCTCATTAACGCTACCAGCTAATAACATTAAATACTATTATAGTTTAATATAATATATATGAAGGTCAACAAACAGATTACAAATAATGAAAAAATCAGAATAATGCAATAAAAGTAAAGAGTATAATTAAATATATGTTAAAATCAAACATTGATTAGATACTTATCTTAGGCTGTAGATCAGTTTACAAATTGTGAAAAAAATCCAAAGTTTAGACATCCCCATGCTGCTTATAGAGACAGACTCAGAAATTATGGATACAATGTTAGTGCATTCATTCAAGAATCCATAAAACAAAGTCCAAAAGATCCAAGTAGATTCTGAATGACTATTGGGTATATATACATACATACATATACAGACAACATATATTATGTTTAGAAAACAAATATTCTCTGTATTTTGCTGCATGCAATCAATGAGTACATACATGCAAAAGTAACAGCCTACCTTATCTTTGTGTGTATCTAACAATTCGAAATGTACTTCTGAAAGCAAATCACACAATTTTGTTCAGTTTGCAAATGTTTCAGATTCATCTCATTACTCCTTTCCTTACTATCAGCAAGGTAAGTTGGCAGGATGTGAAATGCAATGTGAGTGAGCTGGATTGGTTCTTGATGATAACTATCACATTCCCAGCTCTTACACACATCCTACATACCAATTCAGATCCTGCAGGCTACACGTCAAATCCCTCCTGAGCACACCAAATAAGTATCTTCATTGCCAGCCACTTGGACAGCTCCATTTATATGCTGTATTTTAACCCGTTCAAACTTGTATAGTTTTTGTTGGAAAAACATAAAAGCTTTGCAGAATGCTGAAGCACAACCTTAACCTAGTAGTCTTTCTTTCTCCTTGATTCTGCGATACTTGCTTCATGAGCTCCGTATGCACACAGCTCTAATTTAAAGGGACACTATAGGCACCCAGACCCCTTTAGCTCATTGAACTGATCTGGTTGTACTGTCCCAGGTCCTTAACTCTGCAATGATAATTACTGCAGTTTTTAAGAAACTGCAATAATTACCTTTTAGGGTTAACTCCACCTCTAGTGCCTGTCTGCATCACAGGAGGGGGGGGAGGGGGAGGGGGGGAGAGCTATAGTGGCAGGAAAAGGAAAATGGACACACAGGTAGAGATGTAATAGGCCTGCCAACTGTCTTGATATTTGCGGGACAGTACCTATTTCGGGATCCTGATAACTAAGAAGAACATCTGGCACAGATTTGTACAAAATTCATAGGTACATCCTTTCCTGGTGACTCTGCTCTACTGGTGACCTGCAGTACTAATTTGCATTTACAGGATTTCTTGCAGGCAGCTCCCTTCCTAAGGAAGGGGCGTACCTAGAGCATTTGGCACGCAGGGCGGATCCTCTTTTTGGCACCCCCTGTCCCCCCGCACTGAGTGTGCGCTGCCATTACATTATGACCAAAGCCCGGTCGTCCCTGTTAAAGCCCTGCAGTGCACAACCCAGCCCCTGAAGTAGTGGCGATTCTAGGAACAATATATAGGGTAGGCACATAAGATACCACAGTCAAAACTGGGGGGTGGGGTGGGGGATATTAATAATATTCACTAGGGGATGGGGTAATGTGCTGCTGTTGGCTGTCTGATGCCAGTATGCTGTGCATGCTGGCATCAGACAACAAATTTGCATAGAATTCACATTAGCCAACCAGATTTCTTGTTCTGGGCTGGCTGACACCTCTTAACTTCTATCGTTGTTTAGCAGATAACTCCCCAATTTGCTATCCTTATGTGAGATTGCGATATTTAAGGACACCAAAAAAAAGGAGCTATCTGCTAAACAGCATTCTAATTTGGTATCTTTACATATGGAATCTCACATAAGGGCACAAATTTAGGGAATTATCTACTAAACAGCTAAAAGATCAAACTTTAAAAAGGCTTTTTCTTAATTTTAATCTTCCAGATAGCTCCCTTATGTGGGATTGACATATTTAAGGACAAGGTGGGGATTGGGGGTATAATGGCAGGGAGGGTACTATGACAAGGTGGGGATTGGGGGTATAATGGCAGGGAGGGTACTATGACAAGGTGGGAATTGTGGGTATAATGGCAGGGATGGTGAGGGTATAGGACAGGCAGGGTATTATATAGCTATGAGGAGGGGGCATGTCACAGTGTGAATTTACAAGTGCTGTAAAATATTATTAACTCACCATTCAGGGGTGCAGGAGCAGCAGGGTCTGTCTCAGCTCTTTTAGCCTCCAAGCAGCTCCTTCCCATGGTCAGGCAATGCGGCAGGTGCAGGGGATCTAGAGAGACTGACTCTGATCCCCTGCATGTTCAGAGTGGCCGCGCAGGGGAGAAACCTGGCTCTGCGCCCCCTGCTGGTACACTCCATAATAACCTCTGTGGTGCTCAGTGATGACTCACAGAGTGTGAATCCCCTCCTGAACCACCGGCCCCTGCATGTGGGAGCTATGACAGCTGTCTGGTGACCCTGCTGCTATTGCACCTTGTGCGGCCACATCGCTCGCACACCCCTAATGCCAGCCTGTGAACACCTTTTCATGGCAATGGTATTCCCTGATGGCAGTGACCTCTTCCACAGGATAATTTACCCTGCCACACTGCAAAAATTGTATAGGAATGGTTTAAAGTACATGACAAAGAGTTCAAGGTGTTTCCTTGGCCTCCAAATTGCCCAGAATTCAATCCGATTGAGCATCTGTGGGATGTGCTAGAACAACAAATCCGACCCATGGAGGCCTCACCTCGCAACTTTGAGGACTTAAATGATCTGCTGCTAATGTCTACCAGATGTCACAGGATACATTCAGAGGTCTTATGGAGTCCATGCCTCAATGCATCAGAGCTTGTTCGGCAGCACAAGGGGTACCTACACAATATTAGATAAGTGGTTTTAATGTTGTGGTAGATCAGTGTATAATATATATGTACAATATGAGTAGTATATGTGGAATAACATTTATGAGAGGAGTAAAACATGTGGCAAACAATGTCAATGTTACATATTAATATTCAGAAACAACACTGTTTTTCTAAACATTTGTTAAGAGTTACAGCCAAAATGTACATTCTTGTTTACATTAAATAGTGCGCTACATATGCATATTGAAACCAAAAATGTGCTTAACTTTTCAGGTCACCCAACATGCTGCATTTCAGTGTTGTTTTTTTCTTGGAAACTGCTTGGTAATAAAAGGGGTTAAGTATTGCAAAGGTTGCTTGATAGTCCAAGGCTGGTCATGAATATCTGTAAAGTAACAGTTGATTACATGTTCTGCAAAAAAAGTAAAGATAGATTTAGTCTCTGTGGTATTTACTAAATGAAGAATTGTCAGGGGTTCAAATTGAATTCAAAGTGAATGTTTCCAGTTTGGCAATGTTGAACTTAACCCCTTCCCGACCGAGGACGGTTCAGGACCGTCATCGGGATTTTCCCATTGCGGACCGATGACGGTCCTGAACCGTCCTAACGGTTTCCGTTACTTACCTGATCGCCGTCGTTCCCCCGGCGGCGATCAGCGTTGCTCCGGTTGTGGGGAGACTGCCTGCAGCCCAGACAGTCTCCCCACACTGATTTAGGACCCCTGTGGCCATGTGATCGCTTAACACAGCGATCACATGGTCACAATAGGTGTCCATGTGTCTGCCTGCAGGGGGACTGTCTGTGCTGACAGGCAGTCTCCCTGCTAGTGTAAAATCAAAAAATAAAAATAAAGTTAATGTTAATAAAAAATAAATAAATAATTATATATGTGTATATATGATATATAGACATATATTATATCTATATAATATATGTCTATATATCATATATATAATGCCATACTAAGTGTATTTTTATATTAATATGTACTTATATTAATATAAAAATACACTTATAATTAAATTACACACGTATATATATAATATATATAATAACTATATAGATTGTATATATATATTATTATAAAATATAAATAATAAGTAATTTAAATTAAATAAAAAATTTTTTAAAAATAATAAAAATTTTAAAAAATTATATAGCTATATGAAATTTTATTCTAACTGTATTTTAAAATTAATATATATATATTTATATCAAAATACACTTAGAATGAATTTGTATATATATCTATGTATATAAAAATAAATAAAAATAATAGAAATATACATATGTCCATATACAAAATTACATAAATAATTATATAAATATACACGTAGACTTCAAATATATAAATATGCATATATATTTAAATTCTACGTGCGTATTTATGTAATATTTTTACATAATTCAGTAATTTTATTGATTGCAATTTGAGGGACCTGCCTGCCAACCCAGGCCTAAATTCCAGAGAATTTAATTTGCTAGCACTGTATTTT